GTCTTGTCACAAACGTCCTGATGTTGCTGTGTTTAGAGAGAACTAGGAAGTGCTCCCCACCCCCACCCTTGCTCTTTAAAACACCTCTCCCTCTAGACCAGTGGTTCTCAGTCTTCCTAATGTTGCCAGCCTTTAATACAGTTCCCCATGTTGTGCTGACCCCCAACCATGAAATTATTTTTGTTGCTACTTCATAACTGTAATTTTCTATTGTTAAGAATCTTAATGTGAATGTCTAATATGCAGGATATCTGAAATACCACCCCTGTGAAAAGGTCATTTGACTTCCCAAAGGGGTGAGACCCACAGGTTGAGAACCTCTGCTCTAGATGGGTGAGGGGCTCCTCTCCTCCGCCTCCATAATTTGCCCACTTTTTCTGCCCTACCTCAAATGAGTCAAAGCCCCGCTTCAGTCAGAGCACTCACAATATGTTCATCTCTGGAAACAGTTTTACATTGTGTTTTACGTGTCTCTCAATCCAATTAAATTGATATGCAAGATTGGCCATAATACCATGTCACTAAGCAGATTCAAAGAGGGACGATGGTAGGGGGAGATAACAGGATGGAATATTAGCCCATTGGAGTTTGTAATAAGAAATATACATGGGCCTCTGGGTCTAGCATATGGTTTGATCACATGTGTGAGGAAGATGTCTGCAAAGGAATGAACAACCAAGACTCAAGCGACCACACTCTATGAATAACAGAACAGTAAGTGATACAGCTCCATTGTGCAGATCCTAGGGCTCTAGACCTTCAGAGCAGGGAGGCAGCAGGTGTGAGCTGACAAGTTTTTAAGGAGAGTTCAGAGTCAGATTTTGAAGGTTCAGTAGATGTAAGTCAGCAGATGGTAGAAGGCTTCATGAGAGCAGGAGATGTGTTCAGTACTGGGTCAGGTCCTGAGGAAAGAGAAGACAAGTTCTAGTTAGGTGGGAGCAAGAAACGGAGTTGAAGGTGTAAGGGTGGCTTGGGGAGAATGGACACAAAAAGAAGATTGGCTAAGTTTGGCCTACATGCTTGGAGGTCACATGGATCAGAGAACAGCAGGGAGATGACAGCCTGGAGGGGATTGAATTGTCTCTTCATGTGTGTCTTTATCTTGTAGGATTCTCAGCAAGTTAAGTCAAGATATCAATAAGAATGAAGAGAGAAGGAGCATTTTTACACGCAAGTGAGTGAGCAGCCTAGGCACTGCTACAAGGGAACTTAAGAATTAAAATCCCAAGTTGAGTCTTTAAAAGACACTGTAGCACTGGTTTTGCCCCCACTGCTTCACCTGTGATGGTCCCCTCTGTCCCAGGGGTCATGAAGAGACTGCCTCAGGAGGGGAGGGAGTTCCCTCTCCCTGATGAACATGTTGCCCTTTAATCCAGGACATCAGGGGAATATTTCCTAGATTGTTAAAGAGTCACAAGCTCCAAGCTGTGACATCAGTGTGGCTTTAGTGGTTTCCAGAAGCTGAGGG